CATCTTCTGTTGTAACAACAATAACATTATAAATAGTAACATAGCTGAACATGGTATTGCACATTTAGCTTTGAGTGTTACTGACCTGAGATGTTTTTATTACATGAATTAAGGTGACTGAGGCTTTTTAACATAGACTTTTCAGTGTCCCACATTTTGCACAAAACTGTCCCACATTAGGAAATGCAGATTGTCTGAGACAACTTGGCACTAAGAGTACTGATATGTCTACCATTTCTTTTATGAGTGTAATATCTGCATTTTTTCTTTTGGTTTGATTAGGACACATCCTGGGGATTGTGTTTACAAACATTGACCATACCGTTCACCAGCCCCCACCCCCCTATGTTGCCTACTGTATGTTGATTTTTGACTTTGTTTAGAGCAGTGATCTTCTCTTCCTCTCTGCAGCAGAGAGCTAAGCGCTGTCAGACTGGACCTAACCCTAACCCTGAAAAGTATTATCATCTGAAATTAATCATTACGTTATTAGTATCAAATACATATAAGTATCTTTACAACTTGTATTTAGAAATACTCTGTTGTAATTATTGATGCATAAATGTGTTCATCCATTCAATGTGGCATCTGCTATGATATTACTTAATAATACAACACATTATAATATATGATATGATAATTACATTTTAATTGTATTCATTTCTTATTTCATAGTTTCTCATTATTATTATTTTTATTTGTATCGCTGATGTTATTTTTTATTTTATTAATCTGTGTGAATCTGTGCTGTCCTGTTTTTCACTCTCACCCTGTTGCTGTTTGAACTACTGAATTTCCCCACGGGGATTAATAAAGGTCCATCTTATCTTATCTTATCTTAATGTATAAGTTGATTTACTTCGATCTACTGTACTGTGTAAAAACACCACAACAATATTACAAAAAATATACTGCATAAAGCAAACTATTGTAAAGGTAAAAGTATGAGCATAAAAAATAAAGAAGTGTAAACATTTACATTATTATGATTATTTAATATATAAAGACTATACATTATTGAAATACAATTAAGATAATAAGATTAGATATACTTTATTTGATCTAAAATATTGATGTTTTTTCGTTATAGCAGCCTGTGAAAACCATAACAAATAAGTGATTAAATGCTACAGTATTCAGCAAACACAACTGCAGAGCTGCAACATTGCAAACAGACTAAGTTCTACAACACCAAGTTGTCTGTGTGTATTTGTGAATGAAGGTAGGTAGGTAGGTAGGTAGGTAGGTAGGTAGGTAGGTAGGTAGGTAGGTAGGTAGGTAGGTAGGTAGGTAGGTAGACAGATGGATATATAGATAGATATATGGATATATAGATATATGGATATATAGAGATAGATAGATAGATAGATAGATAGATCGATAGATAGATACTTCATTCATCCAAAATTGTGAAATGTGTGGAAACAAGTATACACATAATAACATTAAATACAAATGAAAGCAATAGACAGGAATATATGCATATACAGTAGAAAGGACACAATGAATATTATAACATTTAATGTAGCCTTACTATGAAGGCTAACCGAAATACGGTGCTTTTCTACAGATTACCCCACCACTGCACTGGTAAGGTAAAACTAGGCCGATTAATAAGATGTGAAGTGCTTTTTAACTTTGACCCGCTTGACTGAATACACAAAAAACAATGAAGAAAGAGTTATCTCTGTACTGCTTTGCTGCCAGCTGCTCCCCCCGGGACCCGAAAGTGGCGTAGCCTGTACTTCAACATCAATGCATACGAATGTGCTCGATATATGCTGTATTGAACCAATAAACTAACACAAACTAACTGTATCACTACTGTATAACATGATGATGATGGTGATAAAGAATGCATCTAACGTTCCGCTGTTCATTATAATACAAAAACATCATGCTCTTACTTTGAAAACCATGCGGAAATGTCGTCATCAGCCGGCCATCACGTGTTTTCCGAAAATAACCGAGTGAAACAAGTAGATTTTAGCCGAGACCGGCGGAAAGTTTGTCTCAAAACTCCGTGTGTGTAAAAAGACGATCCACGAGCAGAGATTTGAGATCCACAAGCAGAAATGTGAGATCCACCAGCGCATTTTTGGTCAACAAATACAAAATGGATTCACAAATGCCTGATCGAAAGTTGTAAATGTTAAAGCTCCCATGTCATGCTTTTCCGGTTATTACCCGTCCCTTTGTGTGTTATGAAGGTTTTTATGCATGTAAACGGTGTGCAGAGTCAAAACCCTCAAAGTACACCCTGTAGCGAGTAAAACTCTAACACAGAAAATAGCTCCCCAAAACGCCTCGTTGGAGATACGTCACTGCCCATTTGAGTCTTCCATTTAGTTCCGGGTACCGCCTGATGTCATGCGGTACCCGGAACGAAATGGACCAATCCCGAAGAGCTATGGCCACACCAGCAGCGGCGTGTTCCCCTCCAGAGGTTCGAAGAACCGGCATTTCACAGACGAAAGCTTCCAAAACATTGCCCAGTTTGAGGGCGGATATGCACAGCTTGTTTGGACCGTTTGGAGCAGGGGAAGATCTGGGTATACAACCTGTAAGTTTGCATTGTTATTTGTGTATTTATCAAACAAGACTGTTTAAATGTGTAAACTGTGTTGGACTGCTAAGCCATTGACACAGTGCTAACTGTGCTAACTAAGTTGCTAGAGTTTCCATATATCAACTCTAATATCAGCAGATGGCCTTGCATACATGTATCTCATAGCAGGAGAATGTCTGCATTCACACACACGGAATACTCATACAGTATACTGTACTGTGATTTACCGTACATTGTGACCGTACATATACTGCATGTAGCTAACGAGGCTAGCTGTATGCTAGCGCAAAACAATGTATTCATGCAAGTTACATTGTATGGTAGCAGAATACCCGTATACGATTGCAATTATAAACACGTTATTGCTAGCCTAATATGAACCACTAGCTTTTGTTCATAGTAGTTTTATTACACTTCATTATAGTTGCCTTTCCTCCAAGCTAACGTTCATATCGTGTTAGCTACCAAGGTAAACAAAGCTAGGTTAGCATATTAGCAGGCAAGCTGTTCATTACACAACTACTACTAACGAATCTAAAACAACTAAGTTTCTCTAATATTTTGTGATTTGCATTTGATTTCGTCCAGCCAGATCCTGGCGGACAATCCATGACGTGCTAAAAGGCACTTCTACTACTACTGAGGCGTCGTGCTAAAAGGCACCGCACCGACTGTGCGCAGGCAAGATGCAAGGAGGAGGAATGGATGATATACCGTGTATATATGTATATTTATGTTCATTTTGTACATTTCTAAAAATAAAGTTTAATGGAAATACTTAGTAGGCCTATCCTTTCTTCCCTGAATTCATATATAGCAAACCATGATTTGATTTCTCATCAAACAGTAGTAGTTTATAACGGGTAAAAATAACTTACTCTTTGTTATGAGCGGCTCGTAGGCCACAAAGACAAGGAGACATACACGAGTTTACAAAACCACGGCACATTTATTGTGGTAAATGCAGAGATAGGTGGTTGAGAGGATCGCAGAGTTAGTCTTCCTGCAACCGCTTTGGAGAGAGACTGGGGCCGTAGTGTCCGGAGGTGTCCGTGATCGTGCTGATTAGCCTCTTCAGCTCCACCCCATCGTAAGACAAAGGCCCTGGGGCCGTCACACTCTTCTATAACAACAGTTAAAAATATATATGTATATAAAATATACGGCTGTGCCGACGCCATGATAAGACTGATGTTACGCTGAGAGCAGCCGGGAAAAGCACTGTTAGACATGGGCGCAGCCTCTCTGGTGGTTGACTAATCAGAACGAGTGGCCGAGCTGACCAATCGGAGCACACTAGGCTCACAGGGAGGGGGGGGGCAAGAGCTCCAACGAGTCGTTTAGTGGAGAAAGTGAATACTGCTGAATACACATGCTTGACAGAGATGCTGTATGTGAAACCAATGTGAGTTTGGAAAATTGTACAGTATAAATCTATTTTAGTATACCTCAACAATGTAATTATGATCAGTGGAAATGGCCATGACATGGGCCCTTTAAAGAGATATTCAAAGATCTTTTTTTTATTTGTAAAAATATTTTGCGTATTTGCAGATCCGTTTTACATTTGCAAATGTATTTGTGAGTTTGCAAATATTTTAATGCATTTGTGGATGGTGTTTTACATTTACAAATCACATATTTACACACAAATAATTTGTATGTTCACACAAATAATTATGAGACATATCTAAGCCCATAGCCCACCAATAAAGATTATATGGCAACATTAAATTGTAATAATAACATTATCATGATTGGGTTTAATTTCATTCCAGCTGTTAAGTTGTCAGGCGCAAAAACCTTTGTAGGAGTCGGAGAAATAAAAATGAATCAAAGACTATGAAAATATTTGAAGAACTGCTTCGATTAGTAACAGGTGACCACATGTAATTTAATAGGCTAACTGACACACACACACACACACACACACACACACACACACACACACACACACACACACACACACACACACACACACACACACACACACACACACACACACACACACACACACACACACACACACACACACACACACACACACACACACACACACACACACACGGAGGGAGGGAGGGGATAGAGAAAAGCGCCGTGCTGTTGCCGGTGCCTCCGGTTGGCTGCGCTCTCCTCCTCGGCACCGGACGGACACCGGGAGCGCACCGCGAACACGCCATGAAGGATGAATGAACTTTAAATCTGCCTCTCAACTTTCCCTGCCTCCCTCTCTCTCTTTCTCTCTCCTTCTCTCTCAGTCAGTTTCTTTCTCTCTTTCCCTCCTCCGCGGCTCCCGAAGCGAAACACCAGAAGAAGAATCTCCCACAATGGATTTACTGCAATCACGATCCTATTGTGAATGAATGATCAGATCTTTTTTCTTCTTCTTCTTCTTCTTCTTCTTCTTCTTCTTCTTCTTCATCTTCTTTTTTCCGCGGATGCTCATTAGCGTCGCGGGTCGAGATGATGGCATCAATAGGGGAATTCGATCCTCTCAACACCAGAGTCCCTGCAACTAAAATAGAAGTTACCGTTTCGTGCCGGTAAGGTCCAACTCATACAAATTCATACAGATGTGTTTATTCACCAAACCCAAATTAAGAGCTTGGATCACCGGGAAAAATCTGTCTAATACGAAATTCAGATTGACAAGCAAGCGAGATCAAAGTAAAATAAGTTAATTATGTGTGCGTGTGTGTGTGTGTGTGTGTGTGTGTGTGTGTGTGTGTTTGGGGATGTCATTTCCTCTTACTCTAATGTAAAACATGTTGAGGGTAGTACAACCAGATTTACACCTTCTTTTTTTTAAATACACATTTTAAATGATTTATTTTTGTAAATTGTCCAATTTGCTTGTGTAAACCAAAAGACAAAAAAAAAATATATAGGTATCTATCTATCTATCTATCTATCTATCTATCTATCTATCTATCTATCTATCTATCTATCTATCTATCAATCATGCGTGACCTTTTATCCCCCGATGCCCTTTGCTATCAGGTAAATCCCATCAGTTGTGTCCAATAGTCGCCAAAGAGATAAAAGAATCACATCAATTGTCTCCACTTCTGCTCAAGGTCCGGCCAATGAGCCGGTAGAATACCATTGATATGCACGGACATGCATGGTTAACTATTGATGTTGCAGGTGAATTATAATAGCATCAGGTTATAGATTATCTAATGCCTGGTGCAGGTCATAAACATATGCTTATAACACGTCAGGGGTAATTATGGTGGAATACATTGTTGATATTGATTTGATGACCCTCGTAACAACAAAAAACAGCCCTGGTGAATGTACTGTCTCGTGCCAGGTTGCTTTGGCTGAATGGTCGGCTGCTCTTCTGACTAACTGACGGAGTCAGGGTTTTTGTGGACTGTCAACCTGCCTACCTGGTGGGCTGACTGGCTCTTCAATTCAACACATCAATTATGAATACCTGCCGCTCCCCTATTGTCCCTCCTGCGATGAGACAGACTTTAAGTAGTCAGACAACCTCACTGTAAAGGAATGGTACACGGTAAATGGTAAAGGAAGTCCCCAAACATGACAAATAAAAAGATTCAAAACAGTGTCAGAGGGTTTATTCATGATTATTCCTGGCTATGCTCGAGAGTTTATTGTGAACGCACAACATTTTTCTATCCACTTTACCTTTTGTAAGATGTTGAGTCAAACAAGAACCGATGCTACAGCCAGCAGCTGGTAGCAATGTCATAAGTAAAACCTGCATTAAAAAAATAATAAACTAGACCTATTTTATATTGTTTGAGTGTTTCAAACTCTTTTCAAACCTGGAGAAATCTATCAGTTTAATTTACATTTATGGAACCTTTCCACCCCTAATTTATGTTGCAAGATATATAATGACGTTTTACAGTCAGCATTTGGTTATCGTAGCTCGATATAAAGACTTAAGGGAAAAGTTAGCTGAACTCTGTCTGAATGCAACAGATTCTGAATACCAGCCCCTTGCTGCTCAGTAACTAACACTGAAACCACCATTAACATTAATTACTTCTTCATCTTCTTCTCCCTGGGGGTTTTCATCAGCTTGCGATGGTAACCTAGTGGAGTCTCATTTATGTGGCTTACTGTGGCTTTGCAGCACAGTATTTTTAGATTGGAGTTACACAGAATAAGTTAGGGAGCAATTTAAATCTGCCATGACCTAACTCTTAGGGGCTTAGCTGGGACTTTTCAAAAACACTCAAGGGAGCAGAAAAAAACCATATTGAATTTAGGAAATGTTAATGAATGAATACATTTTCTCAAAATGAAAAAGAAACTCTGAATGGATAACTGTTTAACCTTCTCTTCTGCTGTTTCCACAGCAGTCTGCTGGATGTGGATACATTCTCCAAGTCAGATCCTGGTATGTATGAAGTATTTATGGTATTTAACGCTGCCATTAATGAAAACATTGATATTTTTTGCAGTTATGATTTAAGGAATGCACTATTTATTCCCTAAATAGCCACTCTATATTTAAAGTTTTTCTTTCTCTTTTTTTAAAGAGCATGTGTTGCACACGAGAAAAAGCATTATGATATAATGAGGGGTGTCCTCTGGCTCTTACACTGATAAGAAAGCAAGAAGGTCAGAGCTATCGACGGGTGACAACTCAGCTGCTAAAATAAAAGAGTAAAGAGGGAGAATAAAGAACAAGGGCAAGACTAAGGAGGGAATGAAAAGTCAAGGTTGCATAAAGGTCAGGATGTGAGAGTGGCTGAGCTTGTCAAACATTAAGAAAAATGACGGGGGAAGGGATTAAGGGAAGGAAGATGGCAGTGGAGATGGAATAAAATGTAAGGGTTAAAAAGCCTGCCTCTGTATACCCATTCTAGCTGTGGCCATTAACCACTGATAACCTTCCAATGAAGACATAAGGCTGGTTTTACTGTTGACATTTAGTTAAGTATATTTTCTTATGAAGAACTATGGAGCTGCAGATCATGTGTTTTCAGGTTTTAGGCTGTATGATCCTAGAATAATTACATTTTCATCCTCAAGGTTCTTTATTTGTCAAACGAACACAGCTACAGTGTAGTTATGTCGATGAAAATCCTTAATCCTTATAATAAAACCCAGTATACAGAAAAGACTACCAGAAGTATGTCTTCATGGAAACCAGAAACAAATATCAATTTGGTACTACGACTTCCACAGCAAAAAGGGACTCTTCATAATCCATTACAATCAGGAAAAGAACAGCCTGTTATTTCTTGCTTGGACTTTTTTCAGGCCTCTTTGCTTATATAGGTTGAGTTTCTTTAGGAGAGAAAAAAAATACTACTCCTTTATCTGTTTATTTTATTACATTTTTCTTTTATGTGTCTAGTTTTCTCTCAAAGTTAGCATTTGATAATTCCTTATTTGCATGTATAACTATGAATTCTGATAACGAATAGTAAAACACATGTACCCTAGTCATCTGTAGTGTCTTGTGAATGCCAGAAATCTCCACTTCAGCAGCATGTATTCACAATAAACGTTTTAGTTTAATTCCTATTTATATTCTGAATGTTTTTACTGGGGTATTTGTTCATATAGCATTCAGAGCCTGATTTATGGAACTAGTTTTATAGTTGTTGTCAGTATTCTCTGTTTGATGGATTAACCTGTTAAGCCCGAGAGACCCCGGTACCGGGGCACTGCCGCAACATCTTGCAGGAAACAGTGTCTGAGGGCATGTTAATTTAATAAACTATGAATGTTTTATATCCATGTAACGGGAAGAAACTCCTCTAACTGATCATTTTTTTTTTTTTTCAAAAGAAAACCCACAATGCTAACACTGAGCCTCTGAATTAGCACCGAAAATCACTCACAAAACCTTATTATTTATCTCTTCTCTACATCCATGACATCGATTCACATCGTGAGGTGACACAGAATCAATGGGTACCCTCATTATCACTGAATTATACGAATTTGCGACGTTATAAACAAAAACAGACATCAAACATGTGACGCTAGGTAGCTAAAAATGCTAACATTTTTACCTTGGTTCTGTAGTCTCTCCAAAGTGGTCTTCAATGGCATTAAAACGATAAAACGCTGCTGAAGTTAATCCATAGGTTAATCTAATGTGTCTGTGTCCCTTTGAAATGATTTCTGATAATCCATAAGCATTAAAACTGCTTTTCCGTTTCCAGATGTCAAAGCTAGAGATAGGTTCACTCTGATTGAAAATTACATGCGCGAAGCCCCCACCTTTTCTCTTCACAACGTGTGTGTGTGGGGGACTCCCCCTTCGATTCTATTGGCTCTAACGGTCAGAAAGAGGTGTCAACCATCAAAATCGAGCAAGGGGGGCCAGAGATATGGAAAATCCACCCAAATGACCCCAGAAGTGGTTTATTTTTGCTAAATCTCTCTAAAAAGGTAAAATGTCACTTGTTTTGCATCAATCTTGATACAGGGTACTTATTATATGTTGTACGTTGGATTCCTAAAGCTTTTAGATCTGAAAATCTGAATTTTCTTTAAAATAAAAAACATCTATATTGATTCTGACTTTTCTACATCCAACTCACAGGTTTATCATTACTTTGAGAAAAAAGATTATTAATTTAACCCTTTTAGAAGGGAAGATATGGTCATTTGTTCTGGGACTGTCATTTTTGAGCCTGAGACCTGAAAAACAGGCTCAGGGCTTAACAGGTTAATACGTAAACAGCAGATGACATTAAATCAACTCAAAAAGTATGGTGCAGGCGATCAAAGTGTTCGTTAGAGAGTGAAACTGGGACAGAAGATGTTCGTGGATGCAAAAATGACTAATGAAACTTAACTGCCAGTTACAAGTGATCAATTGATGCACTTCTCAAGTACTGTCGTGAGGAAAAACTGCCTTCTGCTCCAAATAAATCCATAATAATAAAACAATCATTTTAGCTTCAAAGATGCCTCTGAACACATTTTTTAAAGCAAACATGTGGCAGACAAGAGTGTAGAAGAATGCCAAGAAAATGCATTAGTCTAAAACTTGGTGACAACAAGACTGTTTGCATTTGTTCCTCCGCAAAAAACTTCCAAAGGGCAAAGGGCCATGTACAGAACATTACGGAGAGTGCCTCTTTTCTTCACCTGACAACCCTTACTGCTCTGCTTGAGATTTTTGTTTTTTATCCCTTCTGCCCTTATCACACTCAAGCTTTCAACCAACTAAAATGGTCTGAACAGAAAAGCAGTGTGGTACCTTTGAGAGCCCGTTGGGTACAACTTTCTCAGACAAATTGTACCCCAAATCAGCACGACGGTATTGCTTTAAAATGAATTACACAAATCACAGCTGTCTAACTCCTCACGCTGGTCTGGAGACTCAGTGATGATGGTTGAAACTGGCCACAGATGTGAGTGCATGCCTGAGGAGCTACAGACAGGGAGAATTGGCAAATGAGCCACCTTGTATCACAAAAAAGCTGCCCACCACAGAAAAGTGGGAAGGTAGAGATTCAAGGTCCATTTTTATGCATGCATAGTCTTATTTAATTATTGCATTTCGATGCAGACTAATGAAGGCCATACTTAATTATTATTACTATTAGTATTCCAGCGGTTGAATCAACATATTCATTGGGCGAACTGAGCCAAGTCAATTTACAGAGAGCGAAAGACCATCTTGCTCTACCTTATATCTTTCAGAATGATATTATCACATATTATAGCCTACTGTGGATGATACAAACTTAGCTAATCATCGAAGCAACGTTGCATTGAAATGCCAATAAATGATATACAACCCAACACTTGCTGAATCCCTTCATCATTAACCAAACAAAGAAAAGTCTTTTTTTTTAACTGTCGCTATTGACGGTGTGACGATTATCTCTGACCAATTGCTAATCTGTGTGTTGAACTCCTATTAGTAGCATTGGGTCAACTCACATACTTGTCCAAGGTGGTACCAAACAAAATCATCAGGTACCACTATTCACAATAGTCCATGGTATTTACCAATGGGAAACCAATAAGGAGCAGGTTGAGCTAAGAAGCTGTGTCGTACCATGCATTGGAGATACAGCTTTAGACATTAGCAGTGTGGGAAAGGACTGTCAATCGGTATAGGCTTAATGTAGGCTGCTTGGCCGTTATTGTGAACCCCAGCTGGGAAGTCAAACAAAGACTACATGAGGAAAATAGGGCATGGCAGACCATAGGCAAAGCAAACCTGTGTCCATTACTGTATTAGAATAGAATAGAATATAATCCTTTATTGTCATTATACAGGTATACAATGAGATGAGTAGAGCTACTCCTTTTTTTAAGGTGCCACCTTGAACTTCCAGGGGTCCTGACAGTTCCTGTTTTAGATTGTTCATGTGTGTGGTTTCATGTAGTATGATTATGTAAAGTGCAACATTATAAATGGCTACGTTTCTGCCATCTATCATGATTGCTTCTAACTGTTGCACATTAACTCTCAAACCAAGGGAAAACTGAAAGGAAGCTGACAGGCTTAACAACCCTCTTTCTGACAACATGTTCACTAACATAATTGCATAAAGTGGAAGTGGAAATTGCAGTAGCCGCGCTGCAGTTCTTTAACAGTTCTTTAATGTTCTCTGAACATTATCATAACAGAAAATCTAGAACTTCAATTTTTTCTACAAAATGTTGCTGTTATTGTCTAACAGATTATTTGGACATGGATCGGATACATAAATTGGACCACCAACCTTTTAAACATTCAGTGAACTGACATGTTTACGGCCACAGCTGCTCCCTTCTGTTTGCGTCCTGCTTTTTTATGACCGTCCAGTCTCAGCTTTCGGATATTTGGCAGCAAAGTAACATGGGAGCAAATGCCATGACTGTAAAATGAGTGCAGTTTATGACAGGAAGGAAGTCATTAACAGAGCAGGTTCCATACAGGGGAGAAAACGACCTACTCAATCAGTGTTTCCTTTTTCCACCTCGCATGTAAACCATTTAATCAAATTATACACGCCTAATCAGAGCTACTTGTATGGCAGGAATTACTGTTGACTGCTGATTGTGCAAATGCTAAATATAGTTACTTCAGGTCCAAGAGACCAAAAATACACAAGGTTCAATGAGGACAATAAGAGTTTCTCGATGAGTGATATGAGGAGTCCCTTTTATTTAAATATGTTGAAGTTAACCCTAAAATAAAAATATTACGAAAGGGATTGAAACAAAAATGACAGCTGTGTCTTCCTAAGCTACTTGCCAAATAGCGAGAGGTGGTAAGAAATTAAGAAACACAATAGAGATAAAGTCACTTCAGATAATAAATTGATAAACGGAAATCGAAACTGCACACATACACACATTACACCCTGCTGTTTTAACCATCACCAGGGCCAATTAAAGTGCCTAAAACGCTCAAACAATTCAATTCAGGGT